ACTTTTGGTTTAGTATTATACTTTTATTCTTAAAAGGTGTTACGTAATGTTTTCGTTGGATTTGATAAGACATCTTTTTTTTTTCTTTTTTATTCTTAGACTTGTATTATTATTGTTATGTTTGTTTTGTTCTGGTTTCATTTTTCTTTCTTTTCTTTTACGCTCTTGCCTGTTTGACTTGTATTATTACATTTTTGTTTGTTACACATATATTGTTTTGTTGCGTTTTTGCCTTATAAGTTTAAATTGCTGTATTTTCATACAGACAATTGTTTATTTTTTTACATGTATTTGTGCCATCATGTTAATAATGATATATGTAACAAAAGCAAGAATTTGCCAATATATATATATATATATATATTGAATTTTATGTCACTGGATTCAAATTTATTGCTGCTGGTACTAAGAAAGAAAAGAAGACTGAAGCTGATATATTGATACCAACAGCAAATGAGTTATTTTCTGGAAGTAAAAGCTCGAGGACTGTGGTAGATAGAAGGTGTGTATTTTGCGACAAAAACCACGAGAGTAAAGATTGTTTTACGGCAGCCAAATTGGCTTACCATCAGAAGCAAGAACTAATTAAGAATAAGAAAGCTTGCTTTATATGTCTTAAGTTTGGACATAAAGCAAAATATTGCAAATCAAGTGTTAAATGTCTAATTTGTGCTAAGAGACATTGGTCGATCATGTGTGCAGAATTATCGCCAAACAAGCACGAAGTAAAAGATGAAAAAGTAATTGATTCGAGTGAATGCCAAAATGTAATACTTGCGAATTCTTGCTGTTCTGGAGAGATATTCCTTCAAACTTTAATGGTAAATATTGAAAGTAAAGAAGGAAAACGTGCTATAAGAGCATTAATTGACACTGGCTCTCAACGCTCATATATTCTGAAGAGCACTGTTGNATATACAGGGTGGTCCTAAAATATATGTCAAAAATGTAAAGGTAGGTAGAGGGGACATAAATAAGCATATTTCGGGTAGGAATGTGTGTGCGGTAATGGCACATTAAAGCACTAGCTTGTAAAGCAGTATGAATCAAAGGAAACTGAAAAGACAAGTAAAGACAAAAGAAAATTCGATTCCCTACCGGCTCAAGGCGGCATTACCGCGCACACAATCCTATACGAACTATGCTTATTTAGGTCCCCTCTACATACCTTTACATTTTTGACATATATTTTAGGACCACCCTGTATGTATTTTGTAAGTTGTAAGACATGTTTCGTTTGCTGCATATATGTTTGAATAGTTTACATGTATGTGTGCTATCTTTTTGCTATAAGTTTTACTTTGCAGCGCTTTTAATTTCTTTTTCAGAAATTTTGAACTGTAAAAGCAAATGGTTTCAAAAGTGTCACAAGTTCATTTTTATTGTAATAGGATATTTAAACATACATTTAAATATCCTAAAAACTTTTTAACACACAAGTATGTCAGTCACTATTGTTATAGACTAAGCATAAAAGTTAAAAATAAGTTGAATGATATATATTTTTGCTATAAAATGGTGTATTTACATTTGTTTGAACAATATTAAAAAAATAAGGGTTATTTCTTTTTTATTAATAAAATCAGGTATTAAACTCAATACATTTTACAAAAATCATAGAAAATTAAGTAATTCTAATACATAAAACTAGAACTGAATTCAATGCATTGTAGGAAAACAGATTTATGAAAAACTCTAAAGACGTGCATTCATTTTTATACCAGCTGTGAAACTAACACTTAAAAATTATGCCGCTGCAAAACCCTTAAATATGAGCCATTATCTTTCCCCTAATCTTCTTTTCTTACGATAATCTTTACTTTCTATTACGAGAAAATAAAGTTTAGAATCATAATTGCATCGACCTTTACTTAACATTAGTTGCTGACATGATGAAAAAGAAATTGAGAAATGGCAAATGAGAAAGAAAGAAGAAAAAATACTGTAAAAGTAAAGTACTTTTACAGCGATCTTCTCTCCATTTTCCATGAACTATTTCACGACTCAGCGAGCAAGGAAAGAGTAAACACTTCAAAAGAGCTGATGTGGCGGAAAATTACATTAATTTAATAAGAGCTACAGAGGGTAAAAACTAAATAATGGCATACTATTAAAAGAGAAAATTTCTCGCATTAGAAAAATGCCAAAAGCATTCGACTTGCATCTTCCCCATATTCGCTTTCTTTTTCTTCCAATACTTTTTTTTATTTGCTAGATTTTAATTCTCTGCTTAATAAAAATAAGCGAAAATCAAATTCTGATATGGTAATAGCCAACCCCTACCCTCAAATAGAATCTCTGTCCTTGGCAGGGTAATGATTAACTACCCTGAACCTTTGCCACTGAAGTAATATATTAGATAGAAAGTATCATTGGCTTGAAAGGCAAAATGTGGATGTACGTTTTTCAATGAATTTTCAACCATAAAATACTAACCATATATTCATCCTATTTTATGTTAAAAGCGTTTACGTTGCTAAGGCTACTTGTGAAATTAAAGGCAGTTAAAACCATGATATCGTTCAAATATATGCTGCAACCTGAATTAAACCATATTGTCACATTTCTTAAATTTGATTACTCGACAGTTGGATTCAACTTGGCGAACATGTATATTTCGATTTTTAATGCATAATTGAAGCAACTGCAAATTTAAACAGTATTATAGTTGAATATACCGATATTATGGCTGCTGAACTCATTGTTTCACGTATAGTGTCCCCTTGATTTTCTAAGTATTGTTAACGCAATTCTTTATACTTCAGTCCAAATAATTGAATTCAATTCAAATACAAAATAAAGAACTATTAGTAAACTTTACAGGTAATTTTGTTTTAACTCTTTTTGCTTAGTATTTTTAAGGCGTGTTATATTAATTATTCTTTCATATTTTGAAAAGTTTTTCTAAACCTTTCTTCCAAGGTTCTTTTTTAATTAAATAAAATTTGGTGGAACCATTTTTCACAACAAACTAACCAGTTTCAAATGAAATAATTGAATGGTTGGAATAATAATAAAGCTATTGACGATTTTTAGAAATCCTAAATATCCATTCATACAGAGCTTTTCATATGTATACATTATAAGAAGTTTTGAGGAGTCTTTGAGCCATTATATAGTTCATAAGTTAAATCATATTATTATATTTCTTACTCTTGCTTACATGATACTATGATTCAGTAGGTACGGAAAATATAAGCCAATTCGATTCTTTGGAAAGCACAGAATTCTAAGTACGAATATCATGATTCAATATTAAGTTTATTTTTCTGTGACTACACTGAAAGAATGGTTAATAAGAAATACTAGCAATAGTTAGTTACCAGTGCATTATTTTTAAATAGAAACCTACAGTAACAGATACATTCCTTCAAAATAAATTTTCTTTGCCGTACTTAAAAACTAGTTCTTTAAATAAATAATACGAAGTTTTACTTTTTGAATGCAAATTGAACGAAGTCATTTCATAAATATTAATATTCATTTTGAAGTAATTTCTATTTTATATCTATGCATACAAACAAAATAGTGAGAAAATTTAAAGTAAGTAAAATAATTCATATTACTTTTCTAACTTAATACGTATATTAAATAATTTGGTATGACTTAATATGTAGCCGAAGCTAAGACTAGACTAAGACTATATTAAGATGGAACTACGTATATTATGTGGAAACTTAAATTAACTATGTGCATTATGAGGGATAATATACTTGTGCTTTCAAATGTTAATTTTAATTAAAAAAACGTGCAATTCACTGGTATTCATTTGGGAAAAGTTGGCTGATATAATTTATTTCTTTTAAAATTTGAAAATTTCAAAAGGATTTTTGACGCACTTTCGTCAGTGAATTGACCTTTAAAATTAATTTAGCTCTTTCCAGCACTTTTTTTAATATAAAAAACTTAGCAAAAGAACAAATTTCCTTATTTTTTTGGTTTAAGAACATGCTGTGGTAAGTTTTGAACAAAGGTATTTGTTTACTCTGACAAATATTTTTATGTTTCTGGGCTTCAGTTAGAACAATTTCAAATAGCTATTTGATACGTCTAAGAAAGTGAATACAGTCTTGTATTTTGTATTCTTGAAAAAGGATTAAAGTTTATTTGTTACATTTTATTCAATTAATCAGAACTCTTTCAAATTGTAGAGAAAACATGGAAAAATTACAGAGCAATGAAAAAAAGGGGGGAAAGAAAAACAATAATAAAAATAATAAGGTATCAGAAAAAAAATCCGAAGAAAAGGAGGAAAAAAATAATAAAAATCCCGAAAATAAAAGCTATAATCTTTTGATCAGCTCACACGATTATATCCGCAAAAAGGAGTGCTTTCTAATATTGTATCAATGTAGCCAAAATCTAACTAAAAAAAATCTTAATTTAAATTGCTAATTAATCTTAAATTAAAATTGTTTTTCTTAACCTTCTTCGTGTTTTTTGTTTTTTACTTTTTGTCCTTTTTGTATGTATTGAAATCAAAAAAATTTCATAAAATGTAAAAAAATGGTGTAACAAGCATTCCTAAAAATACCTAATCAAAAATTATAGTTAAGACTAGTTTTTTTAAGCCTTTGTATTTTTTTCCTCTTTTTTGAAATTAGAACTCCTTATTTTTAGAAAACCTAGCTTTATTGTCCAAATTTCCCACTTTTCATTTAAATAATTCTTGAAGAAATCTAAAAATAATATTTTTATGATTTTCTTGTTGATTTTTATTCATGTTTTTATTCATGATTTCATTATGATTCTTATATCGCAATTTTAATTACTATTTTCTATTATTATATCGTAATCATATATGATTTGGTTGAGGTTTAAAATATTTTCAAAACACTCTTCATTAAACCTGTAGTTAAATCAAATAATATTTTCACTTTTAATTATTAAATCAAAAAAAAAATTTTGCTTTTATAATACGCCAAGATAAAATATTTCAATGAATGACATGTTCGTGAAGAAAATGTGAAATCGAAAAGTAAAGAAACAATCACACCCAGTCAAGTTTTCAACACTTTATTTTCATCTTAAGTTGACATTAATATAAGTTGTATTCTTCAATTTTTAAATTCCACAAAATATATTTGTATGATGCTTACATATATACAAGAGGGGGCTCAAGTCAATGCATTTCACCAAAATGAACTGCTGATTGCTAATCGGTAAATAAATAACATTTATGTATTGAAATTTCTCGAACAATCTCTTTAACAAGATATTTATGTTAGAGCCTTTTCAAAAGTCAAATAAGGAGTAAGACAAATCAACTAACATCTCATAATTTATTTTAACACAGACTTAATTATCGAGGAAACATTTTTAATAATATATTTGATGAATTTCAATCCTTCTCTGTAGAGTCATCTAGTCCGCTTTTGCGTAAACCAGTTATGCTTGATTAAAAAGAAAGATTTAATGAAGTACCATATAACGGAAGTTAAATTATTATTTCAAAACCTTTTATGAATGTGTAATCTTGTACCCTACTGCAAGTTTCAAAATAAAACAATTAAATCTTTTAAGAGAGTAAATAAAAACTATATAAATATACGTTCGCTGCAAAAACATATGTTTGAATTTTTAATTTTTATAATATGCACTTATTACAATCTGACTTAAATAGCAATTACTTTTAAATGATTGAGAAAGCAATAAAATTTTATTTATTTGAGTTAAAAATAATAAGTATATAAATAGTATTTGTATTTGAGTAAAAAATAATAATAAAAAAACATCATCATTAATTACGGACGATTAAGTTACGAAAGATTAAAAATAAATCCGAACCTGCCTGACTTTACAAGTACATTCCCTAACAAAATATTAAATGTTATAATTTTTGGTAAAAATATTTCACCAAATATAGTTTCCAATCAAAATTAAAAACAATAACTACATTTTTTTAGTATTTAAAGCTTTTGATAATGTTCAGCTACAGATTTTTTCGCGGTTTTCTTGTTGAAGATGACGATGACCTGGGCTTGATAAAGTCGTAATACATTATAAATAGTAAACTCATGACAATAGATTTTTCATGGCTGAAATTAAATCGAACGGTATCCAATTAGGGATAAAAACGCCTCTACGGCACTTCTTCCCAAAAAACGTAAGCATTGTTTGTCAAGTTTTAAATCTGGTTAAATGGTAAACAGTTATTACTTTATTAATTAACCAGTTTTTACTTATTTATTTTTTGCCTTAAAGTTAGAATAACTTTTGCATTTTATGTAATTTTTCCTTCAAGTATAAAAAACAGAACTTAATTATTTTCTTTCTGTTAAGGTCTTACTTTTTGACTCTTAGACAAATTTCATTTTAAATAAAAAAAAATTTAAAAAAATCTGAAGAATGATTAACAAGTTTTTTAGTTGAACGACTTTTTCAGAAATTTTTGAGTTTTTCAAATAATGAACAAATTTTATTCACACTTTTAAACATAATACTAAATTGAGGCAGCAAAAAATTATTTATCATAAGGTTTGTCGTATCATTTGAAATATTCAAAATTGCTTTAAATTAAATTATCATTAAGTAGATGAATTATTTCTGTTTTTTCTTCATAAATAAAATTTGCTCGATATTTCTCTGAAAAATTTAAATATGATAAATCCTCATAAAATTTACAATTTTTTCGTTTAAATACCCAAATCCTATTCTTACACAAAAAAAGATTTAAAAACTTATTAATTACATTAAATAAAGTTTAAAAAATACTTTAAAACAATTTCTGCTGATTTGGTTTCATAAACATATTTTCTATTGTTTTAGAAATAAAATTCATTGCAGGCATTATTTTGAATCTAATGCTTTCTAACACAAACGTTTGATAAAATATGCAGTTTTATTTTTATAGATTTGATCAAACTAGTTTTATTGATTTATTACTTATTATATTATGAAACAATTATTGAAAATAATTTCTAAGTTTCATTCAGATTGAAAAAATTAGGTTTTTAATCGGTAAGTATATATGTTAGTTGGATTTTCAAATTGCATTTGTAAATTCAAAATCATTTCATTATTTGTATGAAGTAACACCTAAACTCATTCTAAAAGGTAAAAACAAAAATATATTTTGAATATAATTTTTATTTTTATTTTTTATAAATATTTTACCAAATAGCCAATTCTTCATCAATGTTTTTCACCTTAATACACTACTTTCTATATATACACAATCACAACTAGTTCTCCATTGCTATCTTAATTCTGCATAGCGCATGCCTTACTAGTTATTTAAACGCTTAAAATCACACTGATACTTCCTCAGAGGATGACGGACGGCTTCGCAATCAACTGGTAAGAAAGCGGACTAGAATGAACATCACGAATGCAAGTTAACGCATCTTTAGAGAGTAGGCCTGGTCCACAAAGATTCAATATCTCATCTATTTCCATCCAGGCACTGACGAATCATAAATCATTTTCGTTCCTAGGCAATTATCACCTGATTGGTCTACAAAATACAATGGCAATAGCGAGAAGACACGTCATCATAGTCGATAATGACGTCACTAAGACAGGTTGACTGCTAAGAAGACTGTCACAAATACCTGAAAAAAAACCACAAATATCGACTTCTATAAAGTATTGAAATGCTTGCATCATTTTTGTGCAATTAAATTTCATGCTAAATAATTTTACAGAAAGATATTTTAATTTGGTGAATGAGAAATAAGCGACACAACTTGCAATCCATTGATGTAGAATACAAGGAAAATAAAGTTATTTGTGTTGCTCATATACACTAGTGAAGAAAAGAACATTGTTTTAAAGAAAACAATTTTAGAATTTTTGAAATATTTTTTCTAATTTCCAATATTTAAATTTTTGTCTCGGGAAAAAGTAAAACATTATTTGCTCAAAAGTATAGTAATTACTACAACATTATTTGATTATAAAGGCATTCCACACAAGTTTTAAATTTTGCGTGATAGAAACGTTTTAAGCGTAAAAAATGACGTAGTGACTGCTGATAGTGCAGTTTTCTTAAAAACGGAAGGCAAAACAATTTTTGACCAATATTTTAAATACTATTGGGTAATTTAATGGTAGTGTAATTTACCATTTTGGTGATAGGAATTTGCAAACCAAATCATACCATTGATGCTGTTAAGGCTTAATTTTTATTAGAGCTTTTCAAATTCTAAAATTTATATTATAATAAGAGTTATTGAAAATAAAATTGTATTATAACGTTTTTAACTTATTTGATTTATACAATTAATAAATTTTGCATTGTACGGTTCATATATTACATAGTGTACTTTTTTTAACAAAATCTTTTAATATTAAAGAAGTTAAAATAACAAAAAAAGATTTTTTTCTCTAAATGAACCATAGTTCCAGTTTAATGAATGCACTTTACAAAAAAAGAATGCTAAATTATGAAGACTTATGAAAAAATAACGAGCAGCGCTATAAGTATCTCTTACACTCTTACATATACTTGTCATTAAAATTTTTAAAACAGTTGATGATTCGATACTAGCTGGACCACACTTAATTAGTTCAATTTACTTGAAATTTAATTCGTGAACTTTTTAATTTCAAAATGATTATTCATGATTTAAAGTGGGACAAGTACAATTAGAAATATTTTATCGTCTACTTCTGACAAATATCGGTTTTTTAAATCTGGAGAAAGCATAACAGCTGCATGGTAAAAGATTATTTTTTAATGTGCTCTTTATAAAACAATTAAAACTGAAATATTGAAATGAAACACGTGTATTGGTGAATATTTAATTCTAAAACGATGAAAAAAGTAATTATTAAGAGGAAAGTTTGTTAAATTTGACCCGATAAGTTTCGAAATTGCAATTGCGGATTACGTGATTTATATGTAATGCAATTTAGGTAATCTATAAAACTAAAAATAATGTAACATCAAAATTCACATGTGGGTTCATGTTGTAAAAACTAAATTCTGTATAACTTGTAATGATCCAAATAATCCTTAAATTGTACAAAAGATTTTTTTGATTTTTTTTCGTCTCAATTATTGAAGTTAGTTTTATTTTCTGTACTGAAAAAGCACATGCAATTATTATTGATTATTCCTCGGTAAGTTTCTCTCCCTCCCTCCAAAAAAAAAAAAAAAAAAANAAAAAAAAAAAAAAAAAGAGCAGAAAATCGCTAAATAAGGGGGGGGGAATCTATTTTAGGAAGAGTGCCTCTATCCTAAAATTAAAAGTTATGCACTTCACTTTTAATATCCTAAAAAATAAAATAAAAATTTATAAAATTTTATTTTTAATCTGTCTATGTGATTTTTGCGCCAACGGCATTTTTTTCTTAACTAAGTCTGAGTAGTGAAAGTGAAAAAAAATATGTATAATCAATTAAGCAATAGTAGAAACTAAGTTCTTATTACAAATACACTATTTTATGAAGGTTCATTCGGTTAAAGTAATGTATAGAATAAAAAGTAATAAAAAATATAATTCTAAATATTTATTAATCCCCCAGTACACTGAGAAAAAAAGTATAGTTACAACTACTAGAATATGTTAATCTGCATCTGGCTCTATGGAAGCAACGAAAAGCTCATTAATTTTTACCTAAGTGCTTTGGTTATGGGTTAGCTAAAATTAACAATAAAATGCGATTATATAATGCGTGATAAAAATTTGCCAATTGTCGTAAAGCAACAAATGAACATCAGGATATTTTACTTTAGAAATTAAAATAGCTATACTTTATTTGATTCTAATCGTCTTGTAGTCGCAGTAGAGAAAATACTTACCATTATTTTTCAATCATGAAGTTTTTTTTTTCTTTTTCGCATTCTTAGCAAGAAACAAAATACAGCTTCAGAAATTATCTAAATAGTTTTGTTTCAATATCACTATTTTCAACTTGACTGCATTTCATAATTTCGATAAATTGTTGCTAATATTTACGAACAAAAACACTGCATTTATTTTATTGAACATATTGATATAACAAAGTTTTACTTTAACGAAAACAGTACAAAATTTTTTTTTCTTAGGTTGTCTATTACATAATTTTTGCTGAAATAAACTTATATGTTAACCTTCTAAGCTAAATTTCCGATGTTTTTACGAAATAATTCCTGATTTCCTGAAGAATTGTTAGATATGTTGAAGAGATCAAAAACTATTGTAGATTACCTCTAATCGTAGCATATTTATAAATGATAACAGATTGCAAATGTAAGTAAATGTTACCTGTTGATGATATGTTAAAAGATAGATTCTCAGTGAATGTCTGTTCGATGCTTCTGCGGCAAGTATCATGAACTCCTGACAAATGCGCTGTTTTATCTTTGTTCCAGTATACCTTAAAATCAAAATTTAGTTGTACTTCTAAAATTCACAGAATAAGAAGAATTTCAATAAACTAAAAACAAAAAGGCTCGTTTGTGAACATTTTGGTATTAACTAGGGGACTTTGCTCCCAGCTCGCTCTTCTCACCTACTACCTATATCGCTTCGCAACCCTAAACATTTAAAGAATGCAATTTGTTTCATTGTATTAATAAAGAATTGGTGCCATAAGTATAGTTTAAAGAAACAGTTCGATACTACAGTAGGAGTTATTAAGATACAATACGATGCCTATAAGTGACGTCGAATGGATGAAAATTAGAGCATATTTGCTTACGTCTCGATACAGCTAATCAGGTACGACACACATACGTGAAGTCAATTGGAGGTATCCATTAAAATCAAATGTGAAATTTTATTCAGTGTAAAAAGGAATAAGCCTAAGAGCTGTAACATTAGCACGCCAAATATAACACGTGATTAAACAGAACCATGTGATTTTAGCTGTTATCTTCTTTTCGAGTTGCGACTGTCCAATTTATACATAATCATTTTTCCCAATTATCTTATCAGTTTTATACTTTTTTTCAGAAATTATTATTTTATTTTTTGTTGCTTCAAAAACTCGTTAAATATGAGATTATTTGTAACAATAGTCTGGTAAATGAAATTTTAATTTAATTTACTTTCGAATTTTAAATAGTTTTTTTGCAATTATAATTTCATCTGCATTTGTAGGCTTAACGCAGTAAACTAAAAATACTTAAAAATATAAAACTTATTAAAAAAATACGATAAATATTACCATTTAATAGATATAAAATATTACTTAAATATTTATATGAAAAAATGTGCCTTTGAAGGGGTTATTATGCAATTACTTTAAAAATATAACGAACAAACAAAAATATACTTTTATAAATTTGATAATGAAGAAAACGAAGGAAATAAAATTAAAAATATGACTATTGAAACCGACATCTTCAGGGGGTACCGGCCTCGGTAGCCATAAAAACAAAACCATTTCTAATTGACTGGATTGTATCATGTGATTTATATGTGCGAAGAAACTGTGCACACCAGCATTCATGTGCAAATTATTTTTATTTTCATCAAAATGCAAAATCACGCAGCAACATTATCATTTTTATTTAGAATTAGCATGCAAAATTTTTCAAGCGCTTAGTTTCTTAAATGAATTATTTAAAAGAAACAAAGTTAGGAATGGTTTAAAGATTTTCAGCACCTTGGTAAACACGTCCATATAAATTATAGCATTTCGATCATTATTCTCTTAATACCAAAATCTATTTGACAGTTTGGGCATCAAAATATGCCGTTTGCAAAACTTAGGTAGCCTAAAGAGTAGTTTAGACTAACTTTTAAAATGTTAAGTCTACAGAACTTGTGAAAGAGGTGTGTAATTGGAGGCATTTTGTGGAACCAAATACTACACACAATTGAACCGGAAATACGGGTCGTTGAGTTGTGCCATTTTAATTTAAACCACCCTATATATTTTTGTTTTGTTGTGTTTTAGTTTTGGCACCATTTTATTTAACTGGGCACAACTCATAAACACAATTGGTGCCGAAACAATCGCTAATTAAGGTGCAACTTTAAATATATTTATACTGCAACAGTTGCCATGCGGTATTTGGTAATTAAATAAAATAACTCATTTACACTAGATCACCCAAGGAAGTCATATTGACTGCTTTTTAATTTCAATTAGAAAAACAATGATGTATATAATGACACAATTTCTTAGAATTTTGTGACTTTTATAATTATTGTTGATATTTACTATTAACTTGTTATATAAATGAAAATAATATCAAAAATATTAAAAAATAATTTTAAACAAATTTCCTAATGCATTAGTTATTCTTTCGCAATGCAGTCATTTTGACTGCTTTTGGGCATTATAGGTATTTCAGTCTTTCTAGTGTTAAATATTTCTTAGAATATTAAGTATATTATTAAGAATATTATTCAAACTTCATTTCAAAAAATATTAAAGCAGAAATCATTTCTTTGAATATTTATGTACCCTTTTCGCTATTTCAAATAATTTATTTCTTTTTTTTAAACATTTTTAGTAATATTTGTAACAAAAATGTTCACTGCAACATTGTAACAAATTATATATTTTTTTGAATTATATATTTTAACACATTAGTTTTAACATTCCTTCAATGTAGTGGATTATTGTTTGTTATTTTTGTGAAAAATTTCTTACAAAAATAATTTAATCTTGAAGGAAATAAGAAATTCAAATTTATTCATTTCTCACCCGTATGTGAGCACTGCAAATCTTCTATTAATTTTAAAAACAGAATGCAAGAACTGGTGCAAATGAATATTAAAAAGAATATTATGAAAGCATGAAAGAATAAATCTTTACATTTAAAAGGCTATGAACTAATTTAAAATTCATAGGAAAAAAAGATGAAAGTAAAAGATACTGTTTTATTTTCGCTACATGATCAAAGTTTTATTCTATCTTAATAATGACGAAAAGAAGAAAAATTTTCACTTATCAAAAAAATAGTTTTGTTTCAAAGAAATTTTATCGTAGAATTCGATGATGAAACTATTTCTAGCAGGTTGTTGAAATGAAATATTCGAAAAATATTAAAAGAAATGAAAAGAATAATTGTAAAAAGAAGTGGTAATAAATTAGGATTCCATAATAAAAGAGAAACTTTACATAATTTTATGTTATCAATCAGTTTTTCTAGTGCTTGATAAAAACCATAACTAACAACGAAATTTCTTATAAATGTGAAATGAATTAATTAAATTTACGAGGGTTGCTATTTATATTTCTGGCCTTGGCATCAGTAAGTGTTGCTAGGCGACCGCAGACAATTTTAGTCGAAAGTTTGATATTTTTAAACATAAATTCTGCAGACGATTTACCATTATAGCTTCATTTGTGTTGTTGACAGCAAATTGAAAAGTTTTTCTCTTTCAAAAAATGGAATTGAATCGTAAACATTTTCGTGCCATTATTTTTCATAACTTTCGACGTGGATTGTCAAGACAAGAGTGCTTCGATGAACTTAATTCTTTATTCAGCGATAAAGCGCCATCCTACAGCACTGTAAAAAATTGGTATAACGAATTTAATCGTGGTCGATGTTCGATCCAGGACGAATCCCGTGCAGGTCGTCCAAAATCCGTTGTTGTGCCAGAAAAGATCGATGCTGTGCGTGAACTGATAAAGCAAGATCGTCATGTGACATACCGTGAGATAGAGGCGTCTTTGGACATTAGTATGACTAGCATCAATAAAATATTGCATGAACATTTGAGCGTAAAAAAAATTTGTTCGCGTTGGATCCCGCATAATCTGACAAACGCTCAAAAAAAGGCTCGTGTCGATTGGTGCAAGGAAATGTTGGAAAAATACGTTCAAGGTACATCAAAGGCTGTGTATAACATCTACACAGGTGACGAATCATGGATCTATGCATATGAGCCGGAAACAAAACAGCAATCAACTGTATGGGTCTTCCAAGACGAGGCAAAACCAACAAAAGTTGTTCGAGGAAGAAGCACATCGAAACAAATGATTGCCTGTTTCTTCGGCATTAACGGTCATGTGGCAACAGTGGCGTTAGAGCAACGCAGGACGGTCAATTCTGAATGGTACACGACCATTTGTTTGCCAGAAGTCATCGGAGAAATTCGAAAAAAGCAGAAGAACAGGCGAATCATTCTTCATCATGACAATGCGAGCTCTCACACATCGACTCAAACAAAGGCATTTCTGATGGAGCGAAAGATCGAAGTGATGGGTTATCCGCCGTACAGTCCTGATTTGGCACGCAATGACTTCTTCTTATTCCCACACATCAAAAATAAATTACGTGGACAACGATTTTCGACCCCCGAAGAAGCGGTTGATGCATTCAAAACGCATGTTTTGGAGTTACCTCAATCGGACAGGAAAAAGTGCTATGAAAATTGGTTCAAACGCATGCAAAAGTGTATTGATCATCATGGAGAATATTTTGAAAAACAATAAAACCAATTTCGATCCTACATGTTTGTTTTTTCATTATTAGGACAGAAATATGAATAGCAACCCTCGTATTCTAATATTTATGAAACAAGAACCTTCAAATTTTGGCTATATAAATTCATTAAGATTAATAATTAAATACACTGACTTCATATGACAAAAATAGTTTATGTTCCTGAATATTTAAATTACTTAATTGTGTTTTTAAAATAATGCCCATACTTCTGTTCGAACACTGTTTTACAAAAGAAATCCATTTAATTTATTATTATTTATTTAAAGTTGTAATTATTGATACTTTAGGGCAAAAACTAAAGGTCATTTGATATTTTAAAAATAATCAATTTCTATATAGCAATACCACTTGTACTAAGGCTGATCCTCGACATAAGCATTTAATTTATGTTCTACTGATTCCCCACTAATTATTCGGGATTAAATTATTATACTACTTTATTCTTGATATGAAGGTAAAAGGAGGTCATTTAACATTCTACTAAAAAAGATTCCGCTCATAGATTTTGATCGTCAAAATGCTGGTGCCAATAGTGAATTGGAAAAATATGTATTCCAATGAATACATGCTAATGAGTATTGAATTACACTGCAAAACATTCCGGATCAAATTACTGTGAAAAGTACCGGCACTCTGGGTGCCGGGTTTTTTACCGCAAAATCCTTTTTACCGGAGCATGTTGCGAAACTGTAATCTCATAAATCGCATTTCTTACAGCAATAATTACAGTAATATCACTGAACTACTCTAATTAAATAAATATTACTGTAAAATTTACTGTATAATTTTTTACGGTAGAAATAGATGTTAAAGTAAAATGGTTTTTATGGATGAGTCACCCAAAGTAACGACGTTAAATCGTAATTAGATCCAGAATTATCATTTTTTCAGTGTACTTAAGAAAAGCTAGATATGTCTGACGTAGTTTTGACTTGACCTTATGCTTGTGAAAAAGTAAAATTTTGTTTACGTTCGAGGACATTGACTGCTTTCATTCACCATAAGTGAACAAGTATGAAGCTAGTTTAAAACAAAACGTCAAGTATCGAAAAAACAAAATCGATTGTGATTTAGAGACTCGATTAAATTTACAATCCTAAACTTAAATTAAAATCCTAAATCAATCCTAAACTTTGAGGTACTTTCCTAACTAGCTCACTAAATAATTAGGAAAAAATAAGCTGGAAATCGTTTTAAAAGTTGTGGCTTAAGTACAAAATTGATATTTGATGATAGTGATTGATCTCCCTCACACCATATATGTTAAGTAGACATCTTGAATTGAGGGAGAAGAGCTCAGAAAGGGGCAAAACGTACACATTTCTTACTAAAAAAGCATAGATATTCTTTTGGTGCATTTTTTATGATGAATCTAATAAAGACAATCTCAAGTGGATCTGACTAATAGTTCAAAAGCTATAAGAGTTAAGCGTATAAATTATAGCTTTGTACTTATTTATTCAAAATGCGTACTTATTAAATCAAATCATATCAATACTTTGTACATATCATATCGATTCGTACGTTTGGCTTTGCTATATAAACAGTTTTTCTACTGTAAATAAATTCAAAACCAATGAATTAAAAATTAAAGATGTTTTAGAGGTTCAACTTTGTTTCAAAGGTACAAAGTTCACTTTGTTCTAAAGGTTCAAAGTTATAAGGAGCTTATATATAAAAGGGTAAAATTCAAAAAACAATTTTCACACGCAAAGTCCACATTGCTTCTGAACTACCATTCTTGTCAAAATGGTTTTAATCTGATTCGATTGAGCGCAAAAAATTAGGTGAAATCCAATGCATTACATGTCTATATTGAAAAATCAGTCAGACATGAAAGTAGACATAAGTACAAAACTGCACTTTAAAACGTAGAATACCGTTTATAACATTTGAACTATTAGCCCCTGTTGACTTGAAATTGGTTTTTATCAATCAAGCGGAAAAACATTCATCTGAAATTTATACCCTCTCTTTTCTGATGATTGAAACTCTACTCATGTGAGAGAGCAAATGACATGTAACCATATTTGGCATAAACAACAACTGTAAAAGTAACTTCTTTTCTTCTAATTGTTTTCTTATTAAACTTCTCAGCAAAGAGTTCGACAATAGGCCTCATTACATAAAAGTTAAATAAGCTACCTTTGATCGGTAAATAGATTTTTTTTCTCTTCTAAAATTTTTCTATTTCAGAAATTTGTCTATTTACTTTTGACAATTGCAGTAAATTATCTTCAAAATTTGCGCAAAAATTCAGCTTTTCACATCTTTGAGGTCCACGTACCTCATATATTGCTTTTTAGGTACTACAGAAGGACAGGAAAGTGTTTACTGAAATATAGACTTTTGTGTTTCAGTTAGATAAAGTAAATTTTAAAATCTAAAAAAAAACTTTTTATCAAAAATTTCTAAATAATGGAATATAAAATAAACATCGACTGCATGGTTTACAAAATTTATATCCATATCCAAATCTAAATGTTTTCCTTTTATCAGAAGGACATTCAGTTTTAACTCTCAATAAGGATTAGTAACTTTTCTTAAAGATCATATACTGAAAGTTTCAACAAAATAAAAAATGCCAAATATCTAGCACTGATCAATTCCTTAAACAATCTGCTTTTAGAAAATAGAAGATATCGATTTTGACACTGAAATTTGCTCTATCATCATAAAATCAAAAATATTCAATTAATTTTCATGCTTCCGGGACATTTTTATTCAAATCATTCTTTTAAAATTGAATTTGAATGTGTAATGCTTATTGAAACATATTTCTGTAAACTTTATGGACAGTTATTTACAATCCATGGAAATATTTTAAAACATAATTTTAATCTAATAAATTTGAGAACTGATCTTAGCGCATTTTTAGTTTAAAATAAATTATAGTTTCGCTACATTTCTTTATTCAATATTTGCTCTACGAGTTACTGGCTTTTATTGTTTTGTACTAACTTAATCAAAATTAGTAAAAGTTAAATAAACTTTTTTTTGTCCAAATTGTCTTCTCCTTTGCGCTCAAAAAGTCATTTCCTAAATTTGTTTTACTACAAAAATTATGAACTAAATTAACTTTAATACGAATGTATTTCCACACCAGGCTTAAACCAACAAAGTAAATAATGAATTATCCTTTATTTTCTTTATTCTCATAAGAATTCATTTAATTAGTTGAGTAAAATCTTTAGTTGATGTGGCGTTAATGAAAAAAAAATATCTGATCATTGTAATGTTTATAATTAAGTACTTGCATAATCAGGTGTTTGTATACTTACAAAGCAGTATTTATATCCGCTGTTCCGTAATCCAGTTACAAGATAGTTCCTTCCATTTTCTTCCCAAGAGCCATGACAGTGGAAACCTAATTAACAAAACATAAAAGCGAGACTACAGAGAGAGAAATTAGCATAAAATATTCAAACATAGAACAACATTAAAACGTGTTTAACTAATTTGCTTTAAAGATACTCTGTAATACCCTTGATCATTTTCGTGTCATTTAAATTTAGCGTAGTTTTTTTTTTAAAAAAATTAACAAATTTATGCATTTGTTATACATAAAACAAATCACATTTCAGTTGTATTAATTTTTTTTAATTTATTAAAAAAAATGGCCATTTTCCTAATAAGATTTAATTCTTAATCTGTAATCATTCTTTGTGTAGAAATTTATTGGTAAAGTAGGTATATTTTGATAAAAGATTGTTTCACAATTTTAACAAGGAAACATTCAGAAAACTTTCATGTAATACATTTTTTTTAAAACAAAAACTTGTGAAATTCAAGTAACATTAGAAATACTGAAGATTAAAGTTGGCTTTAAAGCTTAAATATATCATTTTTTCGCTTATATTTGAAATATTTTGAAAGCGAGAAATATCAATCTTAATATATAACATGTTTTATTTAAGTGTGAATAAAAAATCCGAATTAAATACAGATCTGCTGAAGTAAAGAGTTCAGCCCTGTTGAAGTAATTATAAATGGCTTTATGAAACGATTGACATATTCTTTCGAAATAATTAATATATTTAAATTCATTCTTAGATAAATTGTTTTATTACATTTAAGTTAGAATACCACTGGAAATCACCTAAAAAATCAAACTTTTTTACATACATTTTGACTATTTGCACAAAGGAGAACATAGCACATATAAAATCATGGGAATTATATTAATTCCATATAAACTAATAAAAACTCATTTAAATGTCATTAATGTGGCATTAGGACATGAATAATTCAAATTTATGCTCGTGTTTTGAATATTCCTTTTCATTTTGAACCGATTTACTAAGTATTCTTCATTTTGAATCAATCAACTTACTTTTTAAGCTGATGATAAATTTTAAGAGCAGGACAATGTAATAGGCACGAGTTAAGCAATTTCATACGATAAATCACCGTTTTAATACTGCAAGCAGTTTAAAACAGTATAAATACTTTCATCAGTGCCGAGACCTTAATGAACACAATGTAGTCCGGGTGTACTTCACTAGACTCATGGTTTTATGAAATAATTAACAGCAGAATGGTTAAGGTTGAAAAAAATAGTTCTTGTCGTATAATCATGTGACAGGGTATAAACGTTTCCAGTCAAAATATCTAGTTTTAGTGCAAAACCTTTCAGTATAGACGGTGCTACAGATAGTAAACGTCTAAATCAATGAAAAATCATAAATTTGAAAATTTTGAAATAGCTTAATAAATGAAAATCACATTATAAACATTTTGACATTCCCACCATATACTTTGAACCAAACAACTGAGCAGAAGAATAGGGACACTCAAGTACTCGAACACGCTATCACTTGATCATCTCTTAAACCCACTAATATTCACTCATGTTACAGGAGAAACAAAAACCATGAATCGAAACGCAACGAAAAGAACAGTTTAAAATATTTAAAGCGCCATCTGTATGAAACTTTTTGAGCTAAACTTTTAGTTCTGCGAAGGGAAAACTATGGTATCTCACATGAATTTCCCTTTTTTTTAATATTATTACTTTTTTCATAATTTCGACGTTGTCAAGGTATCTTACCTAAAATATTTTGAATATGAATGATTACTAATTGTCCTCATGAGAGTGACGAAAATTTAAAAATTGACAATAAAAAGAATACAATGCCGTCTTCGAGTGAAAAGAATAAAAACATTATAACTTCTAAAGCAGTAATAAGATTGCTAATTATTAAATAAAATTAAAAAAAATCTTGTGATTCTGATGAATACATAAGTATACTATACTGTTGATGTTATATACTTCCAGCGCCGATACTGCCTTTCAAAACCTTTTATTTTCATTCAACTGTATTCTCTTCTAAGTTCAGCTAGTTTCACTTTTGTTTTAGATGTGACATTATCAAGTTATATTAGTAAAACTACTAAGTAGTATAAAGTAAGTATGGCCATTAAATAATACTTACTTTTAACATCGGTAAATGATGCACAGCTAATGAAGAACTCTAACCTATTCTGGGATCGGCAACCAGCTATTTTTATTGCATGGTCTCTGCAAAAATCTGGTTTGAAAGATGCTGAGGCTTCGTGTACCACATGCACTCTGATTTCACTCGTCTCTATTAGTTGGGGACAACCAGATGTGGGAACTGTTCGACCTGTAATAAGTAGAAAAAAACAACTATATAAATAATGGTTTCACTCAAATGTAGTATAGTTAATAAATCAGCATCAAAACTGATTCACAGAGCACTGTCCAGCAGTTTTTGTAAAAAAAATGAAATCTTGCGATAATGATTAATAGTAATTAAGTTATTATAAGTTTAATTTGGGTGCCCAGTATAATGAACGTATTGTTCAAAAGAAGTAAATATGGAATATTTCACATTCTTTTTTTTGTTTTATTATTATTAGTTGTAGTAGTAGAAAGTTTCGCCCTTCTTCTTTCTGCTCTTTAATCCCCGTGTGTGCTCCTCATTCATTATTGTTTTTTCCAAAGTTTCAAATATTTTCATGAAAAAGAAATGAATTTTTTTTAATTAATTTTTTTACTAGACTTCTGATTCTGAAATCTATTTAATGTAGTTCGTTATGTCACATCTTTTATGCATCAATCCAGCCGTAAAGACAAATATTAAGTATACCTCATTTTCAGCGACATACAGTGACAAAACTTCGTATGTTAAACAGCTACTCCCGAATCAAGGCATATCAAAGTTTTTCCTCTTTTCCCAAAAAGAAACAATACTCTGAACTTTGATATACCTACCACTGAGGATAATTATTTGCCACCAGTTTGGTTACATGCAAATTTGTCATTTATTGAAACACAAATTCTTGTTTCAATTTTTCCAAAATACAGCTGCGTACTTAAAAGCAAATATGTGCTATTTTCATACATACAGTGTATAATCATTGTACTTTACAAAACACAGCATATTTTTGTAAAACTCTTAACTCATTTTAAAGCGTCGAAATATTTTCAACGGAAACTGATAAATAATTTTTTTTCATGCCAGCTGCTTTTGTAATTACAAAAGATTTTTTTTAAAGTAACAGTATATTCATAAACTGATCAGTAAAAGCATTAAAATTAAAGTACTGGTCATCTGTTATGCTTTAACTAATTTTCTTTTAACATTTAATATTTTTACAAAATATTTATCTCAATATTAATGCATTGAAAACAAATACTTTTTTTTATTTTCGAAAGGAAAACCAATCTGTATCGTAAATTACTATTCAAATATTTTTTATTGAATGAGTAGGAAAATAACAATTGTGTTAAACTTAGGCTACTTTGTGGATTTTTTTTAGTATCTTAACCATTCGAAAAGAAGAGCAAGCATATATTTAAAAATTTTAGCGATGAATAAAAATTACTTCTTTTAGCAGCAACAGATAAATTGTCATTGTTTGAAGACAAAAGTGTGAATAATTTGCTAAAAAAAACAGTTAAACTTATCATAACTTTCGAACACACTGAAATTTTGAGACAGTTAAATTATTAAATAAAAATGTCCCATCTAGTGTGTTGAATTTTAACATGTAGTTGAATTTATACTGACATCAGAGTGGTTCAAGTGGAATATTATGGTTATTATTTCTTGAGTTAATTATCAAGCGTAATTTATGTCTAATAAATTTTACGTAGCAAAACAAAATGTTTCGTAAATCTTAACACCAAAACTGCAGTGGTTGCAGTTTCTCTAAACATATCTCATGGAACAATTATTTTTTAATATATATACTTTTAAAATTAGCATTATTTTGATACATAAAATACGAACATGATGTTTAAAAATTTATTTAAAAAGATTAGCTTGCAAAAAGTTCGTTAACCAAAGATTCTCACGTTATTAAAATTTTCATAGCTAGGCAAAATTCACTCCCATTTTTAAAACGTTGATGCTCAAAATTATTAAGTTTGCATTTATTTCAAATGAAAAATAATAAAGATTTTATAAATTTCAATAATGTATTTCAAACTTTTCCATACTCGAAATTTTAAATGTGAAACCCAGGGCTTTCAAATAAAAGCAAATTTTATTAAAATAAGAAAAGAGACTGTAATATTCTTATTCTGTCTTTCTCAGTCTATATAAACCAGATTATATATTTATTTCCAATGCTTTGAGTAAATTATAGCATGGTACATTTATATCAAATAAGTATAAAAAAAGTAAATTCAACATATTATTAAGCATAATTTAGAAATCTATTTAAAAAGGGTTATTTGCTAGCAATTCAATTTTCGTTAATACTATTTGTTAGTGCCTTAGAATATCGAAACCTCTTTCAAGTTCCCAACATATTTTATAAAAGAAATTTATAAAATAAACCAACAGAAATTCAATACTCTAAAAGGCACACGACATTATTTGGATGCAAATTTAAAAGTCAATTTAAAATAATTCATTCAATATAATATCTTCCGAGAATTTTGTCTTTCATTTATATTTATAGCTTTATTTGAAATGCCATTATTTCTAAAAAGCTTTCTATAGGAATAATAAAAGGTTTTAAAAATGCATTTTTTAAAATAAAAATCTGAAAGACATTGAATAATGTAATTTGTAATTCTATACTTTATTTGCCTCCATGTATTGAGATATTTAATTGCATTTTAAAAGAATACTGCGAAGAGTGATGTTTGTCGAATATGTGATAGCAATTTGGCTAGAGCATGGAAGAACTAAAGTATGATAATAAAACAGAATGTAACAAATGTAAGAGCAGCTCTTTATGTTATAAAAATAAAAATGTTCAAGTCAACTTTTAATTTTTTTTTCATGTGAGGACGTATGAAGCTGAAAGTTAACCGTTATTTTAGAATAGCTTTTTAAAATAATAAATGAAAAAAATATATATGTAACATAAATTTGCAATATAATTTTGAAATAAAGAGCTTGATAAGTAAAATAAGCAGCTAAGCCGTTACACTGTAAAAAATCCGGATCAAATGACGAAAAAAATTATCGGCACTGAGGGTGACGACAGTACTTTTTATCATAAAATAAATTTTTACCGGAACATGTTATGGAACAAAAAATTTAATTTACTATAAATTTCGCAGTAATGGTTACCGTAAAAGCACTGAATCACTACAATTAAATAAATATTACTGTAAAAATAACGGCATAATATTCTATGGTGAAGTTGGATTTTACAGCAATATGTATTTTACGGATGATGCTCCAAAGGTGCTGGTTCTCTATAACATAATTCTATACGGAATTTTTTACAGCGTAAAAACATGGGACATCGACTGGAAATTCTTATTAACTAGTAATTTTTTTAACAAAACAATCAGATTTTTCGAAAAAAAGGTTATTTACGTAAAAATTTGGTCTTTGGGAGTAATGGTTATTACGGTAAAATGATATTTTTCCTAAATATTTGTTTCTCAGTTATATTTCAAATTATATATAAGCCTTGGAATTAATAGCAAATGGGAAAAAGCGAAGACGTTATATCTTAGTAACCCCTTCTCTGTCGGCCTTGCATCTCATACGTTTGGCGTTTTTGTGATCATATGGTCGGCGTCGCATGCCATGCAACGAAAGGAAAATTGCATCAATGAAATTGAATTCGTCGCTACTCACACGTCTCTTTATATCCCGCGAGTACTTTTGTATTTCTGAATATTGCCAAGAGATGGCGCAACTAGTCCCACTTTCTTCACAATTTTCACAGTCAGATTTTCTCGCCTTGAATTAAAATCAAAATCATTTTGTACTTTAAGTAATTTCACTTCCATTAGTGTTACCGATCGGAAGATGATAGTTCTAATTTATCAAGTGAAAATTATTTCCCAAAATACTTTTTACCAAATTTTAATAATTATTTTATGCAAATATATATTTTAAATACCTTAAAGAAGCAGAGTTAAAAAATAAGTTATCAAAGTGTATTTTTTAAGATAAAACTTGGGTGCATTGGAGAAATGGCGGTCAATGGACGGGACATCACATATATTACCACCAATAGACCAAGCAAAAAACTGCTTGCTGGCAAAAATATCTTGTAAATCCGAATTTAGAATAGAACATGTATTAATTTTCAGCAATAAAAAAAATGTATGAGGGGGGGGTGTTCGAAATTCGAAAAAAAAAGCAGACAGATTTGATTTCACATCACTTCTGTTATTTTCTTGACAACGTTTTAACTTTGAAACTAAACATGTCAATTAGTTTTCCAAATAATATGAAAATTTCATATCCCATCAAAATACAGAATAGCTAACTTCCGCTTTGTTAATCACTGAGAGGCATGCAAAAAGAGAGATACTAACGTTCTGAAAAGTACTCAAAGTACTCATGAAAATTCTATTACCGTGGTCTGCTGCACCAGGTTGAACGATTGAGGATGCATGGTTCAAATAACTCGATGGAGGTATACCACAAATTGTAGATTTAGTTTAAATTTGGAGAATATAATGTTCTTCCTTTTGGTCCTCTTTGAACTCAGCACGATCACTTCGAACCGTATTGCATGCTGCATCGTCCTTAAAGTAGAATGCTATCATGCTCAAAGGAAAAAATAACTGTATGTAAGACAGAACAGAATTTACAAGGAGTCTCTAATTCTTAAACTACCAAATTGCTTCAGAGATGTATTAATTACTTCACAAGAACGTCAAAAGTAGATTGTAGTGCAATGGATGGCTCATTTTGAAAACATTAAGTATTTCAGCTAAAAGTACAGTGTATAGAGAAAATAATCTAATATCGTGACAACTTGCTTTTAAAGAAATCAAAATAAACAATAAGAAATGTATTTTTATGTATACTTACCAACTAGAGTTACAAAATCCTGACTTGTAGTTGAGGAAAACACCGAGTAACAAGCTTCCTGCGTACTTCTTCCCAATTCACCTTTAAAATAATAAGGATGTTGAGATACTCGTTGCCCTCGGATACTATCTTAATAACTTTTAAAAGTATAGAATTTAAAACTTTAAATGTAACCTTCTTCTCCATAAATTCTTGCTATATAACTACTGACATTATAATCACGGGAAACTATTTTATGATTAGTAAAACTCGGATAGTAAAACTTTGCGAAATCAATTCTGCCAAGATTGCTAAGAAGCTCTGTTAGAGTTCCATACCAATTTCTTTATCACACAGTAAGTACACAATTTTATAGAATAATTTAAAATCGAAACTAATTTTGAGCTTTAGATTTTCATATTTTGATGACTTAAATTTTAATAACTTAAAAGAGAGAAAACTCACCATTGTATAACTAAAGTTTTGTTTTCAACTCATTTTCCGCTAGTCATTAACTTGTTTTATTTAATTATTTATAGGGGGAGATAGAGATGATTTTTTTCGCAACTTATTACGTCCTATTATGCTAAGTAGACAGTTATACTATATCACTATTGCTTTCATATAGCTGTTTTCTGTTTTGGAAGAGATGCATTGCTATTTATCATACTAAATTGTGTTTATATAAATTTCTTTGAAAACAAAATAATATAAATTGTTCTTTAATTATTCTTCTCAAGAAGTTAAATTATAAGTCTCATCGTTTTAGATTGATAATTCTGCATTAAAAAAGAATACCGATAACGCGTTACTGCACTATCTCGAGAAACCCAACCACGCTACAGTTAAACTAGCTATTACGCAATATGGGCATCTGGTTGACGAAAATGGAATGCCCATCGAGAATAGTCTATGGTTTCGAGAATAGCTTCTTTTACCTGGTGGACGAAAAGGGAACTAATTTTTTCATTGCATATTTTCTTTCTCCATAGTAACTTGTCAACTCTAACCGTCTGTATACAAGCTTGCTCACTACCTAAATTAAATTAGTTGTATCTTCTCAGCTCCAGCGATCCAGGGGTCACAAAAGTTCATAAATGATCCTTTATGTTACATAGTATATTAAATTTCGACAGTATGAAGTATATTCTAGTTGACTAGGCAACACAAGAATAAGAGAAATCGTATTGAGGAATTTAACTCATTCGATATTTCAAATTTGTGAAGATCTTTGTCGTTAGAAAGATGTTTTGATCATGTTTTTTGTGCAAAAAGAGAAAAATCTTTAATTTGTCTGCAATGTGCAATGTGCTATACCATATTAATATTTCTAGTTAGATATTTAGCATTATTAACAGTCTTGGAATGAAAGATAGGATTTCAACGTTGTAAAGAATACTGTTGCTCTCAAATCACATGCAATTAACTTCTTTCCGTTTATTAAAAACCTTTTAAATTTGATTGATTTAATTATCGTGCTTTAAAGTTGAAATAAAATGATCGTGAATAAAAATGTGAGAAAAATTTAAATTTTAGTAAAAATAAGCGATTAAAGACACATCTAATTCTCATTTCGCTTTTTCACTGTGAAAATATGTTTCTTCTGGCAAACAAATGAACATACTTTTCAGGTAAATATATACTGTTTTTAAGCAGCATAAAACTCAAAATGCTCAATATTTCTGCGTTCTGAACTCCCAGGTAAAAGAGTGGAAGCACAATAAATCACATTTTATGTAAAAATAATACACCCAGCAGGTTAATATTATATATTAAGCAGATCAACATTAGAAAGCAAAATGCTAAAAATAACATAGAAATTTGAGGCTGAAATTGTCTTACTTAATCCAAGATGGTTTTTATCTTATTTTTCCTTACACATAAATCAATTTCTAACCAATTACATCTGTTAGAGAAAAAGCGATGTATGAAATTCTTTTGAAGTATATAAAGCTGACGTGGGAAATATTTCAAAGATTAATAACACCTAAATAATCTGCCAACAACAGCTTGTCGCTCCATCATGGAACGTTGAAAAAGCTAAAAATTTGGTCCTTTCTTTTCGGTTATAGATTGACTATTCTTTCTCGGTTGTATAGCTCTTTGGCACGTATGAAAGTCGCTTATGAAACTTTTTAACCGCAAATTGATCAAAAAGTCATGTGTGGATGACAAGGTATTTCAGCCTTTCTTGGGAGTCGTCATTCAACTTCAAATATAAAATGTTCTAGTGAATTTTAGATATAATGCCCAAATTTAGAGAAAAAACATTCCTGCCAAAACCAGTCTTATGTATTACATGGGAACAAATGAGAAAGCCATTTAGTTTTTAAAAACTAATAAAATGTTAGATTGCTTTCTTAATAAAATAAGTTAATTCGTGTTTTTAAAGGAGGTGGGAGGACTAGAGGGAGCCTCTTCAAATGTACTGTTGAGAATTTCTAGGAAAAAAAATGGTTAAATAACGTTAAATTTAATTGTTATTTTCCCACATTCAAGCAAAACAGTAAAATAACAATAAAAAAGTTGGTATTCAAACTAAAAACTGTGAGAAAAATAGTTTATTTTCTGCTTACAAGTAATACGGTTAAGCATCCATAGTAAAACAAAAATTAGGACATGGAATTTCAGGACGCAAAATATGAAGCTACTTCTTTAAATGTCTTCAAATTATATCATAAAATTGACAGGGCAAACATGGTAGAGTTTGTAATTAAACATTACATAATTTAGGAACGTCAGGATACTTTTTTTATGCTTTACTGGAAATTAAATGTATGCATACCACATAGCTTTTATTCTAGTTAGATTATGTGATTTGCACCTGAACTGACAAGCTGACAATCTCCTATAACATTCACATTAGCCAAAGAATACTAAGCCATAGCATAATAAGCATTTGAACCAGTTGCAAATCCGTGCTCGTTAAACTAGGGGCATAATTAACCAGCTCTATTTTCTAACAAAATCAGCTTTCTAATTTGTTATGCCACTAAAATGAATCATGTTAATCTTATAGTAATATTTATATTTTATCCAAAGCCTGTATAATCAAAATTGCAAAAACCCGCTGATGCAAGTTATGAACAAATATTGCATTCATTTTAACACATTGAAAAAATTTTTAAAATGGGACATTCGTTGTAAAAATATCCGGATCAAATTGCGCGTATAATATTCTGGCACTTATGGGCACATCAACCTCAAAATCCATTTCACCCTTAAATTCCTTTTTACCATAAAATATTGTGCCGAGATTTTCACTGTAATATTTGCTTAATTAGAGTTAAATTACTGGGCTCTCCGGTACCGCAGTCGATTAAGGTGTCACTCACACTGTTGGTTGGTGAGCTGGGGTAATGAGTTCGATCCTGACATTCAACAAAACAACCAACGTGTATATGCAGCAAGGTGCACGTCAAATCTAATATGGCTGAAAGTCCTCTCGTTGGTTGTGATGTGGAAATTTGGAGAGAGGAGTACCAGTTCAAACTCTACCGATGTCGTCTGACCAGGGTCAAAATTACGTAGCACTCCTACCAAGGCCGTTAAAAGATAGAGCCCTAAAATGGGGCTAGGTGCTTGGTTATGGTTGGGTGATGATGTAAAATTACAGTATACCAGATTTTTGTACAGTAACATAATCTGGAAAAAATGGATTTTGCAGTAAAAAGTGCCGGCATCCAGGACACTAGTACCGTAATTAGAATCAAATTTCTTACAGTGTAATTTTCCGATACAAAGTTGTTATCGGCTGGTGTTCGGGTTTTTAATTTAGCCTTTGATACCGAAATTAGAGCTTTTAACCCATATTTTTTCCTTAAAGAATTTTTATACCTTCTGACTATTAAGATCAAAGCTGCAATTTTTATAGAGTCATTTCTTCAAAGTCATAGGTTTTTCGGAGTAATTAAAAAAATCAAAGCAAAACATTAAATTTATTTTCAAATCATATTTCTTTATAGGAATATTGCATTAGCAATTGTTAATAACTTTCATAAGAAAATTCTTGAACATCAATGTGTTCAAGAAAAGCTCAACGCAATAATTTACTTTAAATCATTTTTCAAAATACTGGAATTACTTAATTTAGCTTGAAATAAATAATATTAACAATAAATTAATTGATTTAGGTTACGTATTATTGAAAATTAAACTAATTTATGATAGTGCAATTTTTTACTTACCGAATTGGATTTCAATGATATGCTTGTGTCTTCGGAAAAATGTCATGCAAACATATCCATTTTTACTGAAAGACAATATTAAAATTAAAATAGAATAATTTATTACAAACACATTATGTAAAAAAAGTTATGTAAGTATAACAGGGATGCCCGAAATTCTCGCAAGATTCGAATTTTGCACCATTAAAATGTTACCTAAGAAAAACAAAACTCAGCAAAATAACTCACGAGTCAGTATTTTTAAAACTAAAGCACTAAATGGAGGAGCAACGAGATTTTCATATTTGGCCATGTAATATCTCTTTATCTCTCCGTGGGTAGCAACAGAATTTGTATGCAGTTGCCATAGAACTCTTTTTATTTTTCATTTTTATTTTTACTTTATTTTTTTTTAAAGTAAAGCCCATGAACTTTTAGATTATGCTACGTCATGAAGAATTCGGTCACTAGAAATTTCGTCAAAGAATATCGAATATGCGTTTATGCTAGCAAAACTGTGGTCGTCTTTTACCTGATATGCTGAATAATATAAAAATCCATGCTGTATACTTTTAAATAATTACCATTACAGTTTTTAATTAAAAACTTATTTTATTCAAAATTATTTCTTGCAAAAATTTTGGAACACGTTGTATATCAAGCATATTTTAAAGAAAGAAGAGTAAAGAACATCAAAATTAACTCCCTTTCTCAGGACGTTTAAAAAATAAATTTTGCCAGGAGAATAGTTTGATCATTTTAAATAATTCAGATTTAGTTCACGAAAACTCCTAATGGAATATTAATTGAAACTCTCCAATGTGCATAGCTTTTTGTTTGGGTTCTTACAAGAAGTTTAATACTAAAAATAATTGCGAAACATCCTGTCTTAAGGCTCAGATTGAGACTCATCTGTATTTTTTAGCCATGGAGAACTTGAATCTAGGTTATATATACCTTTTTGAAATGATATACAATATTTTTATGAATATAAAATATTATTACTCCCCAGAAAACTCTTCTCCTACACCTAGATTTGTATGCGACTTGTTTGTTGAAAAATTGATCGCTGCAATATGAACTTATTGATATGCATGAATTCGAATAAAATGCAAACTTTTTATATTCTCACTCCAGATAGGTGCATGCGTCCAAAGAAGAATTTTGCTTCACAGTAATGAACAAAGTTTAATCAATTTACAAGCTTAACCAGCGAAAAGGCATGTTCCATGCTCGTCAAATACCTCTTACCTCAATACCTAAGTCACAATACAAATTATTTTGAAGCTGTTTTTAATTTATAATAGCTTGATTTTTATTAATTTGATTTCTATTCACTTGAGTGATAAGAGAAATTTTCAAAAATAAGTTTATGGGCAGCGAAAATTAGTATGCATGAAAACCTTCATGAAATAATCATACCACTAAGTTTAATTGCATCACTAATACATAGAACTAATTTTTTTTCGTGCACTTAGAATAAAAGAATTAATCATGTATGTGGTTATAGCATAGATTTTTTTTCATTTTTAGGCATTTCTTTCAAGTTTTTCATTCTTTGTTTCGCAATTCATCATTTCGAACGTAATGAATTCGCTTGGAACATCTACTTTCCTTCAATTGTAGCAGAAATATTCAGGACAGAAAAAAATTAGCATTAGCTATTAGAGAAATCGAATAGTTTTTCGAAAGTATAACTTTAAATTATTTAAAAAATATAATTCTTGCGAACAGAAACGTTCACACCGTTCTCTCTTGATATTTTTTATTCGCACATTCCGTCAAAAAAAAAAAAAAGAATCACACGATCAAGTGCGGTGGGTGTGCCATTGTCAAGGGTTGGGTGTGCCATTATCAGTATTCAACGAAATACTGATAAATCATTTTCTAAAGCATCCATTCAAGTGAAAACGTGATCAGATGATCATATAGAAATTCAGATAGTGAATTAGGGAATTTCAGGCTAACAAATTATGAAAATTCAATTTCTTATAGGACAGGGGCGTGATACACTATACGTGTTTTCGGTTTTTAGAATACATTCTTCTGTAAAAAAAATTTTTATAAAAACTATAATTTTAATTTATTTTTAAAATTTCTATCATTTTAAACTACTTACATTAGCAACATCGTAGCAATAAAAATCAAAACAAAAATGTCAAATTTATTTAAATTAAATTTATAAACAACGTTCGAAATCGAATACTCTTTTTGATTAGATTTCCCACATTTTTAACATATATTTATATTTATTATTATAAACAAGTATTATTATATATATTTATATTATAAACAGATATGGTTCATACCTTAAAATTAATTATTGCGATTTTTCCCTATTTAGTATTAAATAAATGCATTGCTTACAATTTATGACATCATCATATTATTCATACTAACTTTATAACTGTAATATTTTCATTCTAAGTAAAGACCAACAGTAAAACGAAAGAAAATATAATTGAGGACTTATACGTTATTTACGTTGTTACTCAACATGAATGACAAGACTTTTAAAAAATCTAAATTCGTTGCATGTAATTTTGTGTTAACATAATTATTTTAAAATGCTTTAAATTATTGTATAGTTTAGAATTTCTCCAATTTGAAAAATTACTATTTTTTAATTTCAAATGTTTATGCCCAATCTTAAATAAAAAATAAATAAATCAAAAAATAAACAAATCAAAAAATAAACAAACAAATAAAATGTTGCTAACAAATCTATAAAGTTGGTGAGATTGTAGAAGAAAGTTAGCAACGAAAACTTGCGGAACTGACTATGAGCAAATGACGCAACCAAACGCAGAAATTCAAACAATACTTGCATATTTGATCTATGGAACAAGTATATTTTGCAATATTTGTCACCACATGCCACTCAACATTCAATTCAAAAATTAGGACGTTAAAAGATAAAATTTCCCATATTCATCTAACTTCATAAGTTTAACTTTTTATTGATTATTTTCTCTGCAAAAGGATTTTAATAGCCAAAAGAAAGCATGCTGCTGAAGATTAAAGTATTCTTTAAGAGTTTCTTTGAAAAATACTTGCAGAAATAAAACAAAAATATGTGAAACACAGAAACATATTCTTTAGTATAAAAATATTTTGTATTTCATACGGTTTGAAATTGGGCATAAACGTAAGTACATATGTTATATTAGCATTTTAATGACTGATTATTTCCCACATTCTTTATTTAACAATTTAATGCTTTAATAATATAATATTTTATTTTCTTCAAATAAAAATTATATTTTTGTATATTGTATTGGTTGGTGCTGATTTTGACAAACCGGGATTTTTTTTCTTTTTTTTTCTTAATTTCGGTACTTTTATTGTATATTTTCAGTAGTTCTCTATATTATTATCCCGATGAAGATTAAAAGCACTTGACATAGAAAATACTTTGTCATTAAAATCTTCACCTGCAAATAGATGAAAGTGATGGAATTAAGTAGAATCTTAACATCATAAATTCGACATAATTCTAGTGCTTGGACTTTGCGCTCATCCTCACTATATGTGAATAAAGACAATAAGGCAGAATACGTTACATATAACAGCAAAATGGTTTAAAAGTAAGGGAAGATATGGTCACCGATGAATAAAAATGAAATTTTAGGAAAAAAGGAAGAAAAACTGCTGTCGCCGGTGGGACGTTGGGGGCAGAAGAACGCAAATCAGAGTAGAATATATGTAGGGCTAGACCAGAAATGATCTCATTCAATAAGAAATCGTCATTCACATGAATGAAGCAAAAAATAAGTAAAGAAAGCTCAAAAAATAAATAAAGCAGCGAGAAAATGTCATTTATAAAATAGGTGGCTTGAAATGAGTGAAAAAAGTATATAAAGCAGCTGCACTCACCATCCGGAAGAGCTGTATCCAACAAGAGTAGTGGAATTAGCTGTGTTCGAAACGTGCTCTATGCATATAAACTTGGTGTCTTCTTGATCTTGCTTCGAGTTGGAGATTTTAAATGAATTATTTTTATGTCCAAATGTATAGGTTGTTTTTCCATCCAATGTGTGCCATTTGTGATTGGATGTTACCCAAGATGGAAATTGACATCCACTTATTGGATGTTTACCTAAGAATTAAAACGATAATAATAGGTTAAAGAAATGTTTAAATGTGTCAGTTAAAAACACTTACATTCAGAAAGCAAATTTGCATTCAAAACATGGGTTACCTTTAAACCAAATAATATTTTACAAACTATGTTTATTATTATTATACATAATACAGTCACATCAGCCATGTTATACATAAAATGATAAAAACCATTATGAAATTAAAAGGGATAAATGTTTTTACAGTAAGTTTTTAGACAAAAATCCTTTAATTATTTACTTTATTTCTTTCAATTATTCCTTTATTAGTTAACTAAATTTTACAAAATTTTTTACTACAAAATTAAATTAGTACATTGCTAAATTTTCACGAAGCACAATGTTATAAATTTTTGGAGTAAAATTAAATTTCATTGCAAAAATTTTTTAACATTGTAATTTTGTTGGAATCATAACTTCTGATACGAAGCATTTCACGTATGTATTAAATGAAAATATGCTTCGTTTTCTGTTCAACAGAAAAAGATATTTCCTAATTAAGATATTCAGATATTATATACCTAAATAAATATATTTTTAATGAAATCAGTTTCTCGTAAAAATATTTATTGAAATTGTAAATAAATTTTTTTATGATATGCATTACATGATTATAACTTAAATGTTATCAGTCTGATAAAACATCTGAAATTTATTGAAATTAAAAAAAAAATTCGAACACCAATCTTAATTCCAAGCAAAATGTTTATCAGACAAAAACTGCAATTTCTAACTGCATGGAAATGAAATGTCTGTAAGTTTTTTAGATGCATGAAAACGTTAACTAAAACTTAAATCCATGAACTAATTTTACGACAAAATTATTACCAGCCGACGTAGCGCAAGGAATAGAGCACTTGCCTCCAAATTTGGTGACCCAGTTTCGAATGTCTGAGCGACTGGAATAGTGCTCCCGAACACAGTGCTCACGAACATTATTCCTAATAACCGTTGAGTAACAAATTCTAATGGCAGATGGTTATGGAGTCAATTTGACATCGGGATTAACCATGACTTTACAGCTTTAACAGCTTCCCTCCCCATGTAACACGAATTTGTGTGAGTTTTACTCAAAAAGTAAACCGAGAAAACGAATTTGTTGTTTGATTTAGAAGTTTCCTTGTCTTCTGAGTTGAGTTATAAATTACAAGTTAAATTTTCATATAGTTAAAAACTCGATATGGATTGATTGCTTGTATTCGATTGGCTAGACGCATGCCCCTATAATAAACCTCTGATATGTCTTACTTTATTTTATTATAATTTTAAATATTAACATAATCTACATTAAATTGAATCTTTTATGCTAATATTTTTAAACCAATTCAACGATTGCTACTCAGTTTCACTTACATTGATAATTTATAGCAGTTCTTTAGTAGAAACATTCTTCATTATAACCCAATAAACACACTATCTCCTTTCAGAAACATACAATATTTACCAACATGATCATAACTGGACAACAATATTTAACCCCCAAAGATTAAAGGAAAACTCACTCTTGGTAAGCCGCATAGTGCGAGAACCCTCCCATGGCGAGACAAGGCCGTCACATGTTGCGTCAGCTGACTGCGACATCTGAATAACTCCTTTTTCAGTTAGGTAATCGAACACCTGAAAGAGAATCGTTTGCTTTACAAAGAAAAATCGATTCTGAAGACATGTCTTGTCATTAATGAATCGTTATCTTTTATCGAGTTGAAGACAAACGTCAGATTAATGCCTAGCTCTTAACATTGTCTTCTTTTATCGGCTTTTTGAGATAGTTATCATTGTTAAACTATTAATCTAGTTTAATCTGACATCAATTTTTTTTCTTTGAAAGAAGAAAGTCATGGTATTAATTGCCTAATAATTAGTTAACTTAAGTTATGTTTGTTACATTTTGAATTATTTGCTTCATAAATGTTATAGTTTTGTAATAAATCATTATAGGCTACGACTTCAATTGACATTTATTTCATATCATTTTTTTGAGCAGCTTCTGAGCAATAAAATTTAAAAAGAAGCATAAGTTCAGTTTTGCGTTTATCAAGCACTGTTCACCGTCTTCAGTCAATTTTTGAGTTTTGTCAGATAAGACTATACAGTTCAGAATTACGAAACAATTTAATATGCTTAAGAATTTAAAAATTATTCATTTATTATTAAATGATGCAACAACAAAAAAAACAAATAAATATAAGAAAAATGGGTTCTTTAGATAAACAAGTTTTGCAATTGCATTCAAAATTCTTTTGATTCGTTTAAATATAACAAAAACGCAAAAACTGAAAGTAACATTAAGGGACCTAAACCTTCGACTGCTATTCAATCAAGACAATTGACACCGTATTTTTTGGATTGCAACTACCCCTAGATTTAGAAAATCAAATATCCAAATTTATCAACAACAAAAAAAGCGTGAATTCACACAAATTACGGGTCGGTTTTGTGCCATTAACATAAACTATCGCCAGAACAAGAAAAAGGCGCATTATGGTTCAATAATATGCCTTGACATTCATTATGGTTAAAAGCGCAATTAATATTAAACCTTAATACGTGAAAATCCTATTAATAGATTAAAAGTTAAGTTAAAGTTTTTTATTTTCAGCATTGTACAAAAAAAATAATGAATAAATATAACAGAAATATTATTTTACATTGTATTACAAAGGAATTAACTAGTTCTAAAAGTGCACCGTAGTTTTCCATCTTATTGAAAATTGTAGAGTTGCATAAAGAATCTATTTAAACTTCATATTTTATGCATATGAATGATTTTTTTGGAATTAAAAATTCCTGCTTTCATATTTCGTTAAAATATTTAAAGCATCAATTATTCATTACTTTCATATTTTAATTCCGTGTTTATTATGCTTAGTTTTAATTTTCTGTTATTCTCAAATATTTCTCAAACTTCAGTAATACGGCAAAGAATATTTAATTAGGTGCCTATGTTATCAATAAATTCTTTTTTATGCTATCTCTGCAAAACTAACATATTAACTTACACTGCTTTGGTAGAAAATTATTAATTTTAAAGAGCTATAATAATATTACGTTTTAAAAACAGTGAGTTATAGAATTGTATTTTACTTAGTGCTAATTAATAATATTCCTTTACAGTAATTGAAACTGACTTAAAACTAATTCTAATTTAAATCTTTAGAATTATATCAATTCACCTCAATAAGTAAAATAGTCAAATTAAATTCACATTTTAATTAGATAGAAACCGAAATGAAGATTATATGCCTCTTTTTTTCAATTAAGTACGGAAATTTTCTCGCTCTCGAATTCAGTCTTCAAAATTGATATAAATGAAAATATAAGTAAAATTTTATCGGGGAAAGCATTATATTTAATTATTTTAGTTTCTAAAAAGGCAGTGAAGCATTTACTATAATTCAATTTATTTAAGAAAATTGACATATTCTGAGCATTTAAAAGATTTTGAAAGTGTTAATTAAGTTTCTCACTCACAATATATTGGAAAGCTACATAGTTCTACGTAAGAAATATTTAAACTAATTTATTATTAATAAAATGATCTAGATATTTTCTGCAAAAAGAAAAATTTAGATTACCGAGAGAGTTTGTTCTTTGTTTTAAAATTCAAATCTTAGTTTAATTTTAAGAACTAAATTGCTATAATCTTCCCTCGGTAATTACGAGTGTTTATTCGAATCAGTTTCAAAATTAAATTTCATATTTTTTAAAATGCGAACTATGTTACAAAGTTTTTTTCTTCACATTAGTAAGAAATTGAACATAATCTCCCAAAAAACTAAAAAAATAAATGAATTAAAAAATTATAAACTATTTTAATATACAAGCTGGTTAAGTAGCTAAAAGTAATAGGACAAGTAGCCAGCATTAGTAATAGCTAAAAATAGGTGTTTTTATAAGTAAGAGTGGAAAGCGGTTTCAATCAACACATTCTAAAAGAGAAAATTCCTTCGCACGAATCCTTTTACTTGTCTAAAAGGACAAACATAAGATGTGCAATAGAGGGAAAATAAAAAAAATATGTCGCAAACATCAGACTACTAAACTGCGCATTGGTGAAAAAATAAGAAAAGTGGAACTTTTTCAATTTCTTTTTATACTAAAAGTGCGTTTGTTATTTTCATCATAATGACTAAAGACGTCATAGCCTAATTAACATTTGGCACAACAAAAGAATATTTACATATTAATAAAACCTACCTGAGGCATGTTAACTGATTACCAAGTGTGATGTCTTTTGCTACAAAATGTTGCATAATACATCATATTGCGGCTTTGTCTTTTTTTTTTTTTAAATTCATTTACAAATAATATAATTTTTCTCTCTTTAACACACACTACATATTTTACAAGATCATTGAAGTGAAAATAACTTGAATTAAATTTAATAAATAAATCAATGTGACCATCTCAAACTAAACACGATCATTCTCGTAGCATAATCATTGTTGCAAAAGAGCATCAAAAAAGTCCTTGTAATTTAGGGCACTTGTTCGTTATTTTCCATTAATAAATTTGTCTACGTAAGGCACTATAGTAAAGTGTTATAGGAAAGTTTCAATCTGTGGCAGAAAATAGTCATTGGTCTATGACGAAAATGTAAGTGAAAATTATTTCATGAGCCGAACCCCAAGGGATATCCTTTAGACTTTTTACGGCAAATCTATTATGAAATTTTCTTAGGACAATTATGCAAATTTGATAAGGAATTCTTTTCTTAAAAAATAATTTATTGTAAAATAATTTACTTACAAAACATCTGTATGCATTTTCATCAGTAAAAGACTGTTTATAGCTTTTCCTCGTCGATATTTTCCCGACTAAATAATGTGCTGAGCCTTCTTTCCACACTGCTGTACACGTCAATTCTTCCACTAAGAAAAAATTAAAAATTAAGATGCATTTCATAAATAAGAAAGTACAAGTTACTAAATTTAAATAAGGTATTGAAAAACATAAATTTATTTTAAAAATAAATATTTTTTTTTCGAACAAGCAAAGAATTAATGTATGGTTTTGTGAATTCGGAAAGCACATACTTTGATAACATTTAGCTTTGATACAGCTGTTTATTGTTACGGAGAAGGAAAAACATTTTGTCGTATTGCTTATTCATTAATTTCTAGCAAGATTATTGAATGAAGCATCTAATTAAGGTAAAAAAAGTTCATTACAATTAATCGCCTTGATCAGCTAAACAGTTTTTGCTTTAATCTAATCATTTTCTAGTCAAATTCTTTTTTAAAAACTGAAAATTTCATTTACTTTTAATATGAACAAGATTAAATACGAATTTTTTATCAGAAAGTTGATGCAAAAAAAAGGGAGCTCAGAATGCCAGAAAAGAGTATCTATTTTCCTCATTATGCTTTTTTATGCAAAAAAAACCTCTTAAAATAGGTAAATTTAAAGTAAATTAAGTGGTCTCAAGACTCTTGAAAGTACGGGAAACATTTAAAAGTTTTATAATTTATAAGCGAAATCAATATGATTTCTGAGTTTTTTGCTAATGACAATATATCTTACACGAAATAGTCTGACAGCAGAAAATTATCAGACCTTTTTCTCAATTTTAAAAAGTGCAAAAATATACTTTTTTCACAACTTAAGATTTTTGAGCACATGATTAATTTAAACTACTCCATAATTTAACACAGAATTTTTTGAACAAAGACTTTTATCAACCTTTAACAATTTACAAATGAAAGTTCAAATAACTCATGTTTCAAACATTATTTTCAGATTTATACATTTTAAAAAGTACTAATTTTTAAAATAAAGTACTCAAAACATTCATATTTATAACATTTACGCAGAATTGAAGACTTACATTATTGAAACTTTATAAAATAAATTAGTCGTCATTTCTTTAGCATTCTACTTGTTTTCAAATTTTAAAAATGTTCTCTGCGAATATTTTTAAATTATGTGAAATATATTTACCGCATAATAATTCCAAGTTCTCAAATCATTGCATGTCGGTATTTTGATTTAATATAAGCTTAGATTTTTATCAGAGCAATAATATCTGTCTTTATTACCTTAAAAATTCAGAAATGCACTTGGTTTTGCTTAGAAGTAGTAGTTGCTATAAATGTTTTGTGCTTACTTAAGCCTTTTGTCAGTTTTAAAAGTCCTGAGAGGACTTTTAAGGGGAGATATTATACGAGAAAATCTGTTCTTGGCAAATTTTGTTTCAGATATAGTGGCTTTTTCTAAATTTAAAGTTTATAGGAAAGATAATTCAGGTAAACCATAAAGTTTCAAATGCTGAAAAAGTCTAACAAAATATTGAAATAAAAACAAATCATTGCAGGATTAGTTCGCTGCGTAGTAACCTGTAATCCTGCCATAATTTGTCTGTATTTTGATATTTCGAAACAAAAACATTTTCGGCATTTGAAACTTCATAGTTCACTCTAAGTTCCCTGGAATTCTATTTTCCTTTTACCTAAAAAATTTTTAAAGAGAAATAAAATTTAACATACAAAGTTTTCCCTTGTTATAGTGCTTATCCAGAATACACTGTAAAACATTCCGGATCAAATTACGGCACAAAGTACCAGCACTTTGGAAGCATCCTCTATAAAATCCGTTTTACCCTAAAATATTATTCCGTAATTTTTACAGTAATATCTCTTTAATACGATTGATTCAATGATTCTGGTGTAATTATTACTGTGAAAATTACAATATATCAGATTCTTGTTTCCTCAACATGTTCCAGCAAAAAAAAAGATTTATGGTAAAAATACTGACATTCTGATGGCCCGTACTTTTAACAGTTATTTCATCCGAAATAGTTTTTGGTGTCATCTTGAAATAAAATATGTCTTATAAACCATTCTCAACCTCACAAGAGATTTCCTAAATCACATGTCGTGTTTACTTACCACTGCTTTCAGTTCCGAGTACATCTGCGCATGCTTGAAACCTGAAGAGAAGATGAGAATCATCTGTACAGGAGTCAATTGTTGATAACGGATATTGGCATTCACCGTGTCCCCTGCTATAGGTAAAAGTAAAAGGTCCCCGCAACTCACATGACACAGGATCAGCATCGACTGAAAGGAAACATATTCTTTAAATTATTTATTCGTTTGCTTTCTATTATTTTATCGTTTGTTTTGAAAATAATAAATAAAACAATTCGTAAACATTTATTTGTGTTCTCCGTAATTCACATAACACAGGCTCAGCATCGACTGAAAGAAAACAAGTTATTTTTCTATTATTATTTTCTCGTTTGCTTATAATTATTTTATCGTTTGTTTTGTAAATAACAAACAGTAAAGAACCAATTTATGAAATATTTATTTTTTTATATTAATTACAATCATGTTACTTGTTTGGTTTTGTTTTGGAGTAAATTTTAGAGAAATTTGAAGAAACAATTTTTATTATGCTTGGAACTTTCAATTGTTTGTACTCTTAAAATTGCTTACACATGTGATATTGCTGACAAGACAAATAAGGAAGTCTTTTCTTAGTATTTCTTATAATTCAGTTAAAGGTTTTTATGTTTAAAAAGTACTTGTACTGAAGCAATTGAAGGTTTTTTTTAACTTTTACTTATTTATGTAGCTGAGATTGCTATCTGAACAATTCAATTTTCTTTCATGTAAACATGAATAATTTTACATTTCACAATAAAAGAACGTTATAGTTAATTGCATTTGTGAGTAATTATTTCATCCTTCTGCATTGTTATAGTTTTACTTGGAAAATATAACAATCCAATTTTAATTTGAAATGATTTTTTATACAGTACTGGACAACTTACTGAAGTGACTTTTTTAACCTTAATGTAACCTAACTTTTTTAACCTTAACCTAACGTAACCCTAACCTAAAATGTTGTCCACATGCGGACTCTTAAGTCAGTAGAGCTTTATTTGCTTATTTAGTTGCCCTTTTTGAAGCAAGTGAGAATGCGGAATGCATTTTCCTTAACTGAAGATATTTTGAAGGATTTTTACTCTGAATTTCAAGACATCTGTAGATTAAAACACATGATATTTTAATTATGGCAGTATTTATCTGAGAAACGACTTCTGAAACTGTTGAATTCAAAGATAAATCTATTTCATTTTATGGAATCTTTCACCACACATTACAATAAATGCTTAAATTTATGATATCTGTACCTTATTATTCAGTCCTTGAAAGTGTTACTCATCTTGTGAGTGTTTTTAACATGGTTTCATCTAAAACAAGCAAACGTAAATTGAATTAAATCATATCATTTACCTTTACCTATGGTTGAAAAGGAATACCACGCCTTCTATTTTAACAATCCTTTAATCGAAATACGAATTTGTAACAAACAATTCAATCGGAAAATACACTTTTATTGTTCAGATGTTAGATTCAAAGCTTCAAGTAAAATGTTCCGAACAACGCCGTTCTACAATAAACAATTATACAACAATAATTTCAATTATGTGTAAATTGCCTCTTGCCCTTTGTGCAACTATTATTCTTCAAATTCACAAATTAGTCTATAGATATATACTTACTACTTATTTTGTGATTTTCATTGCATACCAACTAGTTAGTTAAGTGGTTAGTTAATTAGTATGAGAAGATACAGAATAGTGTAAGTCCCAAATTGCTAAAGATATAATGTAGGCACATGCTAATAATTTAATTATATTTTCAAGATATGGCTGCGCAATTGCATAATTCTGTTTAAACAACCTGAAATATATACCATGCGACAGTAAAATTTACATACAACTTCTTATTCCAGTTTAACAATACCGAACGCATTATTCAGCAAATAATTTCCGCCAGGCCATAATATTTAATTATTTCCATCGCATATGCAAATCTTAAAAACTCTATAAAAGATACTGCCTAGTATTTTCTCGAAGCATTTTAAGCGTGCCAAGTTTTCTAGGAAGAGATACTAATCCAGGCGTAAACCTGGCAGTAATTTCCAGCGTGCAAGCGATAAACACTGAATTACGTAAAGGGATGTAATCTGTTTATTCTAAAGCCGTAATTTCACGGTTCAGCACCTGTCGGCGAACAGGGACAGACGGGCGATAACAGGGAAAGAGACAGGGGATTTGTTCCCCCTGGTCTGCTATCCACCAGTTTTCTTTCTCAAAGACGATTCTTTAGACTGAAAAATTCTCTCTACTTGTAACCGTGTTCGTAGGAAGAAAAGAAAAGGTACCGTTTATGTGTCTCTGGTGCGACCAAGATAGCGCGTGTCTTGCCAAAGGAAAGCTTGGCGATATGAATTATGGCAGTTTAAGAAAGTTGCGGTTTATTCAATAAACCACGAGTTTCTCAAGCATATCATTTAAATTCATGAAAATAAAATTAAAATGTTTTAAATGAGCAATTAATATTTAATTGTTTAGTGAGGATGAATTCATAGTGTTTAGTAATTCAGAATGAAATTTGAGTTTGGAAAATATTAAATAAAAAATACTATATCTATATTTCCAGTAATAAAATTCTCATTTTTATTGATGCAGCAACTCTTAAGTTGTATTAAATGTTTATTTATTGATTTTGTTTTTTCATCTTTCTCATCTTTTATTCTTTTTTTAAAAAACTCTGATATTTGAAAAATGGGCAGGTGTTAGAGCTTTACACATCAAATATTTTTTAAAGTTTGATTCCTAGCAATAACTAACAAGAGCATTCATTTATTAACTCTCATTTTATTTATTTATTTTCTTTTTCGGGGGGAGGGGGCAGTGTTCCCTGCTCACTACCATCCCCAGGCTCAGAACGGGCAGCTGTGGGAATACTTTACTCTATTTTAATATTTTTGGAACATCTGATGTAATAATTAGAAAAATCAGTTTTTTTAGTCAAATTATTGTGATTCTGAGGAAAAACCAACTAATTCCGTGTAAGTGTGCATTATAAATATTGTACAAATAATAGCAACATTTTCCCTAGGAAGTTTTGCGGTAGCACTCACAGTTAAACGTTGTGTGTAATATGTTATTCTAATTAATCTTACTTTGCTTTTATAAATTATAAATAACAATTCCTAAAACATTTATTAAAAATAAGACAAAATTGAGTAAGAGTTTTTAAAAACAAATGATTCGGTAATGCGTTCTATCAATAGTAAAGAACTATTATCTAAACGTCATAAAGGAAAACTTCAGTAAAGAATTAAAAATCAGAAAATTAAAAGTAAATAAAATGAAAATAAAACGATTGAAAGCAAAATAAACAAAGAAAATTTAGGTTTTTTTCCTCAAAACCAAAAAATTGAGTGAAATTTTCATTCTTTTCCTTTCGAATAACACAGATAAAATTGATATTTCGTAGCAGAGAATCCCTGTTTAGATAAAAGCAGGAAAAACGCTGATATGGTAAAATTGCATGTAACAAGTCTTGTTAAATTCAAATTGGTTACAGTTATTAAAAAAAGAAAACTTTAAGATGCTAATACTGACCAATAATATTAGCCAATTTATTATATCCTACTATTTTTACACCTATAAGTTGCTCCAGAAACTAATTTAATTTTAATATTCAGGTATTACAAAGAAGTAAAATATAAAGTAAAATAAAAATTTTAAAAATAGAAAATGCTTTTATTTTCAACATCCTAAAATGAAAGCGTTCATTTATCAAAGAACGGAATGGAGGGATTTTCGACAATGATAGAAGATTAGAAGGTGCAAAAAATCCTTTTTATTCGGTAAAAAAAATTCCATCTTCTTTATACAATTTTATTACTTTTAGTTTTACATCCATTTGTTAATTATGTTGACATATGTTAAATGATATATGTAATGAGATATATTCTAAACGGAAATTTTAAAACAGTCGTTTTTTTTTTGTTATTTTAAAACAACATGTTAATTTGTATGCAAATTAAGTAAAAGTATAAAATAGCTCTATGAACTTTTTAAATAAAAGAAATTATAACACGTACCTCGGAATAAAGAATAAAGAGGAGCATCTGCGTTTAAAATAGAACATGCCTGATTCAGAGATCTATACACATCACAATATGCTGAAATGAAATTTAAAAGAATATAAGTATACAGAAATAAAAGGTGAAAAACAAACCATACATGATATAATTAAGTGTCTTAGTTTGTTACATAACTCAAAAGCAATATTAAAATGCACTCAATTTTTTTATTGTTTGTTTAAAAATTCTATAGATAAATTTTTCGAGACGAGAAATAAATCTGTATACGCTTTAAATCGTTTCATTATTTAAAATTGAATATGAAGAATGCTACTAGTATGATAATTTAATATGATTCATTTGATAACTCTTCATAATGATACATAAGTAAGATATGTTATTGGGCTATTGCTTTGGAAGAATTGAAGATTCATATGACAAAATTGCTTTTGAAATGTAGTAATTAGGCAGCATTTCATTGAGGGCTTCACAATGATAGGTGAAAAATCACATTTAAGATATCCCTATTAGTTCTCTGCAAAATTAGAAGAACACATTTTTATCAATGGTAAAAAAATAAAAGAAACGCTATAATAATTACATAATTCAAAAATATCTATTGTAATATTTTTCTTTCTGTTTAATTTTTTTTTCAGGTGACATATGAAAACATTACGCCTTTCAAAAATGCTACTGCACTTTAGTGTGATTTCTAAGTAAAGGAATCTTAAATATTCCTATATTTTATCCCATAATAATCGATGAACAATATATCTATCTGAAGAACCTGATAACTAAGCACTTTCATTTTTACTTCCTGTTATTTTAAAGCTATTTACTCAATCTATAGTATTGCAATCTATTTTCAATTTTTGAGTCAAGTTGCTGAGCAAAAGTAGCTTCGCACGCGATTGTTTTTAGTGGAGATATTCATTACATACTGAGCTACATAGAGAAAAATACTTCAAAAACTTCAAATTCCTTTTAACAGAATAACAATTAAATGCGTACCCGCTATTTTTTTTACCACTATAGACAATACAGTGAGCTGTATTACTTTTATTTTATTACCACTGCTGAATAGCCAACCCAGTTTAGAGTTTATGACTACCAATGTTCGACTCCGTAGCCTAGTAATTTTGAACCAAATTCAGAAGACAAGGCAACTCCTGTATCAAGTATTGGGAGAAATTTGCCTTCATGGAGAACGTTTTGATCAAACTTTCCCGCATTTGCATTACATGGCTAGGAAAACCACGAGAACCTCCCACGGTTAGCCTGACGGCATGGAGACTCTAACAAATGATCCGCCTACGACTGATGATATTTTATAATGTTAAACGTGGTGTGAGCCAGGTGCGGAATTCGTATCGACCAGTCATAGCTGAGATTGGAACCCGGGTCACCTCATTTTGGGGTGAACGCCTTATCTGCTGAGCCAACAGGGCACAACTGTATTAATTAATATATTTCTATTGAATGTTTTAACTATTTTTTTCGAAATATTAATATCGCTTTTTTACGCAATTTTGTTAAATCTCCACGCTGTTTAAGCCTTACTATGATGTCTTATTTTTATAAGAGAAAAAATATATAAATATCTATATCTCCATCAAAAAGAATGGAAATCGAATTGTGCGTGTTCTAAACCGTACGTAACTCAGTCGGGTAAAAAAGGGAAAGTGAAATTCCACACACCTGCGTGATCATCAACAATTTATGTAACACCTAAAAGGATCTTCTAATACTCTTAGAGGATCATGCCACAACATCTCTGACTTTCCGGAAGAAAGGTTTTTGAGGCGAGTGGAGTTGAGAGGAGAGGCAGAAACTTAAAATCTCTTGGTGTCTTTTTTTTTTCTTCCTCTTTTCCCTTTATCTTCCAAGGGTAACCGAAAACGAATGGGAAAACACGAAACGGCTTTTAGCAACCTTATACTCTGCAAGCAAACAGCCGGGAGTTCTAGTTTGACATAGAGTTATGATTCCCTTAGAAGGAGGGGATTTCGAAAGGTACTTCCAAAGAGTTTTTACGCTTGTCGTATTTTATAGCACTTATCTTTTCCAACTAATGTGTGCCTTTGTTAAATGAGGAGCAGTATTACGAATTATATCGTTAAGCCGTGGACTTTGCTGCGTCGTAAAAAGGAAGAAAATGCGGTATTTGTTCTCGGTAATGTATTGTTTGCATTCTATTTTCCGCCACCAGATATCGCCATTGTTGAAACCATTTTCTTTTGCTTGGGTGAACTTTTATTAGTTTGGACAAAGCAAAGTTAATAAAAAGTAAAATTTCAAGGAATGGTATCTTTTAATACGTGGTGTGATCGAAATTTTTTTTCTTCAGGGAGCATAATATTTTATCAACAATAATTTAGCATAATATTCAAAAAGGAAGCATAATATTTTATCAACAATAATATAACATAATATTCAAAAAGGAAGCATAATAATTTAATAACGGTTTTGGAAATAACGGTTATAATTCTGATTTTTTTCCCTCTTTGGTCATCTATGAATTCTGTATTTCATATGGTTCAAGTAACATGAATTTGCACTACATTAAACGATTAGCCAAAGTAAAGAATAAGACATCATATATTTTAACAATAGAAAGNAGAAATTAACAAATATTTCATTATCGGAAAATTTATCATACATAAAGAAGAAAGAAACGCACCTTTCATAAAATTGTGGATTTAATTAACGCTAAAAAAATTAGTTTTTGAAAAACTTAAATGTAAATAATTTTTATTTTTTCTCAGGTTTTGGAAATAACGGTTATAATTCTGATTTTTTTCCCTCTTTGGTCATCTATGAATTCTGTATTTCATATGGTTCAAGTAGCATGAATTTGCACTACATTAAACGCACTACATTAGCCAAAGTAAAGAATAAGACATCATATATTTTAACAATAGAAAGAGCATTGCGGCCACTTCGTATTAAAACAAATATATACGGGGCTGTTAAGAATAGTTGAAATGTGAATAAATATTAATTTGATTGTTCTGGTTAATTTAAATTTCATATTGGGCATACCGCTAGTATGATTATTATAAATATCGCAGAGATAAATTGAAACATGATTTTATTACATTTTAGATCCTATTTTTTATGAATATTTGCTTATGATACAACCATATGCATTACAAAAACGTTTAAAATAGCCCATATTTCTTATTTTTAAGATTCAGATTCAAAAAGGGGTAAGGTTTTTAAACTGGTATAAATATCAGAGTAACTGATCAATCTATCCCTCATTTTTGATTTTTGATTGCATTTTATGTCCGTAATTGTTGATAAGTAACCGTTGGCATAGCAAAAAAAAATTGCATTCTGGCTATAACTATGTAATGTAGTAGCATGTTTTACGTCTAACGGGATGTTAAGTCAATTCAGAAAGTGAGAGCACGTCTTACTTGGAAAATATGGTACAAAAGAGCAAGGACCAAAAGAAAGCTGATTTTTTTTTGTTTATAGCCAAAATGAAAAAAAATTCGCAGCGCAGAATTTTCCATCAGCTATAAGTGTTATTTTTTATTCCATCATGCGCCACAGTAATTATACTCATCGAGACACATGCACTGCTTACTTGACCACAGCAAGTAATTTTTGTTACAATCTTTGAGAGATGTTGCACTCCTTTCTGTTTGATGGATTTCTTTCTTTTGCTTAAAATTCTAGTGTGAAATCTCCAACAAGCCAGTAATTAATTTTAAGCGAGCTCTCCTAACGGAGAAAGGCACTGAAATATCTCATCCCCTCCTCGTGCTTGTTTGGTAAAATTTCTTCTTTTCACTTTACTAGATCCACATTTACTAGATCCCTGAGCAATAACTGGTTACATACACCGTAACAAATTACAGATAAAATTGCAGTAAAAATTACTGGCATTCAAGCTGCCGGTACTTTTTACCATAAGGTCTATTTTTACCGGAACATGTTTCAGAACACACAAAAAATCTAATGTGCAAAAATTTTTACAGTAATAATAACCGTAAAGTCAGTGAATCACTCTAATTAAATAAATGTTACCGTAAAAATAACGGTATAACATTTTACGGAGAAAATTGATTTTACGTATGATGCACTTAAAATGCAGATATATTAAACAGTAATTTGGGATGAATTTTTTTTACAATGCAGGGATTGCGCAGTTATGATGCAATTTACCAAAAGAAAGAAAATAGTATTATCGAAGCATTTGAAAATTTTGATTTGAGATGATCCTTCTTGACATCTTATGATAGCTTGATGCAGTGATTCTCAACCACTGTGCCACGGCACTTTTGCGTGCCGCCAAATTCTTAAAATGTGCCGCCAAATATTAGAAATGATGCAATTAAAATTATAATGCTTTTTTTTATTAGGAGTAAAGTTTAAATTAAAGAAACGTGAATAGATATATGTAATATTATATATATAATATTATATATATATTTTTTATAATTTTTCCACCCTTTAACCACGTGAACATCTTTGTCAGCGATTGTCTTGTCTCTGAAAATCTTAAAATAAGTTAAAATAAGATGGAAGTGTTTAATTTGTCTTTGACACACAATTTTAAAAAATGCTGAAATAAGTAGGAAATTTTATGACTGTTAAAATTATTAATTAACAAAGGAAAGCAAGCTAAGTATTAACTTACAAACGGAAATAAAAGTTAAGCATTAAAGTAAGCTATGCAATTAACAAACAAATTAACAAAGGATAACTAAAGAAACAAATGTATAAAAAACAAATTAGCAAAGGATAACTAACAAAAAAATAATCTAACAATTAATAATTAGCAAAAAAAACTAGTTAGCAAGAAATTACAAAAAATAACAGCTAATGTAAAAAAACTAACAGTTAATAACTAGAGAAAACAAGCTAACAATTAATAACTAGCAAAAAAATAAATAACTGTTACTAACTAATAAAAAATTAGTCGTTAAAGAAATAATTAATCCCTTAATAAACGTGCTTTTGTAGTACATATTATTTTATTTCATATTCAAAATAATTATCACAAACTATTTAACACAGTGTTTAATGGGTAAGTAAACAACTTTTAATCTAATTTTTTTTATTGTGTGTCGTCAAATTTTGAAATC